AAAACCAAAAGAAAATGGCAAATGACGATATCGATTCCGATCGCGAGTGGGAGAAAGAAGTCGAGGCTTTCGAAAAGACAAAAGCCGGCGTCAAGGGACTCGTCGATTCCGGAATCTCCAACATCCCTAGATTCTTCCTTGTGCCCCAAGGAACCGAGAAGAAGACGAACGAAAAAACCGGTCTTCTTCAAGTCACAAAAATCCCGATAATAGATTTCGATCACGGCCTATCGTGTGGGGCCCGCCGAAGGCCCCAAATCGTCCGAGAAATCCGCGAGGCTTGCCGTGATTGGGGATTCTTCCAAATGGTCAACCACGGCGTCCCCACGAGCGCAATGGAGGCCGTTTTGGACGCCACACGCAAATTTCACGAGCAACCGAACGAGATGAAAACGAGCCTCTACTCGTCTAACGGTAGACGGAACGTGAGATTCTACACCATAAACGGACACTTGAAGAAACCGGCCGTGGCCGGTTTCAGGGACGCGTTTTCTTGCACGTTCACGGACGATTATTTGGATCCCGACTCGATTCCTTCTATTTGCAGGTAACTTAAATTAAAGAAAAATTGCAGTATTCGTCCACTAATTATATCCTAGTTGCACTTTCGTCCTTTAATTGTTTATTTTTTACTTTTGGTACACTAATATTTTTTTATGGGTAATTTTAGTCCAAATCGACATTCCGGTGCTCATTTTTGTCGGAAAAGCTGATGTGGCGCTCAGTCAGATCGATTTTCCGGCTAAAATGAGCACCAAAATGTCGATTTGGACTAAATTTACCAAAAAAAAATGTTAGTGTATCAAAAGTAAAAAATAAACAATTAAAGGACAAAAGTGCAACGAGGATATATTTACTGAACAAATAGTGCAATTTTTCCCTTAAATTAATTAATTAGCTTGAATCAGGAAAAAACTTACGAGATCTTGAATCTTAAACTGCTGCATTGCAGGAAAGAAATATGTGAATACATGAAACACATGATGGAGTTAAGGGACGTTTTGTCCGAACTACTTTCGGAGGCTCTGGGGCTGAGCTCGGATTTCTTGAGCCGAATGGAGTGCATGAAAAGCGAATATCTTTCGTGTCTTTATTATCCGGCAAGCCCACAACCGGACAAGACTTGCGGTACGGTCAACCACTTTGACCCCACGATTCTAACGGTTTTGGTTCAAGACAATTGTGGTGGACTTCAAATACATCATGAACAGAATTGGATCGACGTGCCTTCAATTCCGGGTGCTCTCATAGCCAACATTGGAGACCTTTTGCAGGTTATGTTAGACCGTCTTACGTAAGAATGTCAATCGTGCTTTTTTTTTTGAGTGAAAAATATCGACTGAAATGATTTTTTTTTTTTTTTTTTCAGCTGATTACAAATGACAAGTTCAAAAGCGTGGAGCATAGAGTGGTGGCTAGCTCGAGTAGAAGTCGTGTTTCGACTGCGTGTTTTTTCTATCCGAGCTCTCAAGAGATGGTGAAAGCGTGTGGGCCCATAAAGGAGCTTCTATCTGAAGAGAATCCTGCACTTTACAGACACGTCAGCTACATTGAATTTGTGACACATCATCAGACTAACGTACATGAAGGTCAGTCGGCTCTTTCCAATTTTAGAATCATGTGAATTTTTTGAAGTAGAAGAAGTCTGTTAGAAGAAATTCCATCATTTGTGTAAGTTCTTTTAGCAGGAAAAAAAAATTCCTCAATTTGTTAATTTTGTTCTCAATTTTTTTTTCCCTCTTTTTGAAAGAGCACCATAAAATTCTTGTATTGTTTCATTCATGTTGTGTTACTGTATTACTTATTCCTGTGAAAACGATGAGGGACAAATGACAGTTATATCTATATGGCAAGAAGATGTAACATATGTTTGGTGTAAATACAAACAATCAATCTCTGAACACTACTGTAATAGATTTGAATACAAAGGAATATCAATTCAAGATTTCCAGTATTCAACACAAGAAATCGATAACATTGCAAACAACACACAACTCGCATAAACCAAACGAAAAAAGGGAAAGCAAGGGGGAAAAAAATCCAGCATATACTGTGAAAAGAAAAGTAATAATAGTACACTCGTCACACAAGTCGAAACGCGAAATATTGGTTTTTTCCTTGAACAGAGATCAACTAGCCGATTTCGGTTGCAAAAGCTGCATAAGAGACCATAACACATCCATCCGGTGCATGCTTCGGTTATTCTCCCCCTAGAAAACACCAATCATTACCAATTAAGGAATGTAAACTCGAATTATTTATTTATTTAATTTATACAAACATTTTTATTAACAGTTAGTCTAGTTGACTTGCACCTCAACTACAAAGCACATCCATATCTGATCTCCATAGGCTTCTTCAGACACGCCTTTCAGTATGTTTAGGCCCAAGCTTCTGAGAGCCTCTGCAGTTTCTAAAAACTGACCACTCTCTTTGCTCAACATCTACATTTGTGGAGATAATAAGCAAAAATGAAAGGAATGAGTTTTTATTTTTATTTTTATGCGCGGGATATAACGATTTTGAGTATGGTACCAACTAGCAGAAATCGAGATTTTAATGCTTTCCTTTGATTTGATGTTTAGTTTACCTCTACAAGCATTTGCCCGTTCATATTTATATTTTCCACTATTATCGGGCAGACCTTTTGGCTGTTTCCCAATTCGACAGCCCAGCTCGAGCCCTGATCACGACACGAGAATCTACGGATACCTGTTTCCTTGGCAAGCAACTGGAAAAAAAATAAATAAATAAATAAAAAAAAAAAAAAATCATAAATTCTTGTTAAATTATTCAGGTGAGAAATATAAACAGGCAACTGATTGAAAGAAAAGAGAATTCCATAATACCATACCTTTGACACCGAGCACTTGTTCAGTTTATCTGCATGCTTGGTTACACTTTGCAAAAACATCATGTGCTTAATAGTCCTCTCAAGAAGTGAATCTATACTGCACTGTTTGTTTCAAGAATTTTAGCAGAAAACTCTAGGAGGAGAAAAAATAAAAATTAAAATCGTAAAGGATTATTACTATACAGTATTGGACTGACATAACCTTAGATCCACTAGGCACGAGTTCCCTCAGTTCCTTTATCCGATCTTGGATCAATTGCCTGTCCCTTGGCCTGGGCCTAGTACTCTCACCGGGCCTGGCCCGTTTTCTATTCGGTTTAACCGAGTTCAAGCTACACGAGCTAATAGTAGTGCCCAAACTATTGCACGGTGTTCTGTCGAAGGACACGAGGGATTCGAGACATGACCTCTCGCTTTCTGTTCGATACCCTTTTTGACTGTTTGCTCTGGCCACCACTGCTTCTAGAAGGTTCCCATCAGAGTTTCCTGTTAGCAAACTGCAACTGCCGCCTATTTTTCCCTCGGAAATATCGACAGCCATGTCGGGGCCCCTTTTTTTGGCCTCCCGAATAGAATCGTTACTTTTCCTTTGGAAGGAAGGTCCTAATGCTTCATACAGTTCATACCCAGCACAAAATCCAAAAGGTGAAATTTCATTTCCAGGCATTGAAGGCCCAGCGGCTCTTTCTTGAATGTTGTTTTCAAGAGTTTTATATGAGAAGTCCCCGATTTTAACAGATTCCCCAAGAGGTGAAAGTAACTGAGACCACAAGTTCACATCATCCTCATGAAAAGACCCTTTTGTTTTGCTGAACGAATCGTGAAAAGTTGAATCTGGGATTTTCGTGCATGTATCTGACTGGTAAAAAATGCAAAGTATAAGACTGGGGACAAAATATTTTTGCACAGAGAGAGAGAGAGAGAGATGTTCACCAGGCAAGAATTTTCGGTGTTATTTTTAATTGAACTGGGAATACAATCGGGTAAAGAATCTTGTATGCCAGAAATAACAGTTCTGATGTGGTCTACAAGCTTCACATCCTCAGAAATCTGATCCAATTAAAAGATTGAAGGAATAAATGTAAGTCTGCAAGTTAAATGAACACAAGAAAATGCGGAGTGTATCACAGTTTATGAAAAAACATACTTTGTGCAGAGTGCCTAGTTGTACAACTCCATGTGGAATGACATCCACAACTACAATGGTCTGCAAGATAGGAAAATCTCCCATTAAAAATATTCTGAGATAAACAACCGAGAATTGAAGTACAGGTTTTAAATGAGTTAAACTTAAAACTTTACTATGAAGACTATTGAGCGATATGACTGACTACCATCCAATCAAACAACTTTTACTAAAACTTCAAAGTAAGAGGGAGATGAGAAAAGGAATAGACACTGTAAAAACATATCTCAAATCTCTTTGTTCTTATTCTAATGTCAATTGGTTAGATTTTTTTTATTCACCAATGTAAAAGCCTCAGTCAACAAAAAGAGATAAAAACAAATAAGACTGGTATTCACCTGAATGCCAGCTTGAAACTGAGCTTGCCACCCATCAGAATACTGAATTAAGACAAAATTATTAAGTTAGAAAAACGGATAAGATTACTAACAGTAACACATTGCGGTAATCAATAAAGTTATACCCAGTTCCACTCATCCTCAACTAACAACATATCTAGAAATTCAAACAAGCATTTCATATGGGACATATCTTATTGCTCTGGTTATTAACGACTGAAAACACTCACATAAAAGCAGAAAAACCATCGATGTATGTCCGTTCCAATCAACCAAAAAGAAATTTTTTGTTAACCAATATGTGACTTTAAGCCAAAAGGCGTGTCTGATTTAACATAAACCAAGTTAACTTAAAAACCTTTCATTCTTGGACTCTAGGGAAATACGAGCTGCAAATGGAATGGAAAACAATTTTTCTATAATTCCAGAAATGGAAACAGTGTAGTAATATACCTCAGATGAGGAGGAAGAATCGAGCTCATCTGAAAATATCCATAAATGCTTTCCAGAAACTGCTACCTTTCCAACAACCCTGTCGGACCAAATGTCAGAAAGATTCAATAAAAGACATGAAAAACAAAAAATATCATGTGTGTGTGTGTGTGCGCGCAATACTTATAATCACATAAATGTGTACAAAAGATCAAACAACTGACGCTATTAAATTCTACAACATCCCTTCTGTGAAACATCGTGGTTAATATGTTTATGTTGTCCCCAGCAAGCATTAACTCATTTATTTAATTTCAAAAATAGATCTAGAGAAATGAAATAAACCTGACAAAGCAAACATATAGGGGGCACTGAAGAGTAAAAGAAATGGAAATGCTCTATAGTGGTAAATGCCATACCCTTCCCCAAGCGAATATACTTGATAAGACATCTTTGACACAGCTAATCCGAGAAGATCATGTGAGTAAGGACCCTCAGTCGAGCTTCCTGCTGCAGCACTGAACCACTTCTTTTCAGATTGGTTCCCATCATAATAAGCATCCTCCCAAGTTAACATCCTGCAAGAAATTTGTACCGATTAAAAAAAGAAACATAAAATCAATTTTCATAACACTTCCAAACTAAATTCTTTGATCTACCACTATGTTAGAAACAGACATTATATTTCGAGCGCATTTTTTGAATAATGGCTTTATGATTTTGTAATTTCAAATCCAAAAGCCTCAAAAGGAAGTTCAGGAAGGCATAAAGCCTCCAATCTCTTCTTTTATGCGCTTGAAATATCAAATATCCACTAGGCACCTCTGATTTTGCTACTTCAGAATATGTTCAAACCTAAATAAATAATCTTTTGTTATTTGTATCATTAAAACTTACATGAAATTCTCATGCAAGTAACTATGTAAATACATGAACATTTTCAACATATATTCGGTATGGCTAAATCTTCAATGATAAATTTATAGAAAGTAAAGGGACTCACATCCTCGTTCGATGCCTAAGCTTCCAGAAAACTGCATATTCCCAACCACAGTTAAAACAAAAGCTCCTCAGCGCTTGCTGCAATCGACTCCCCATCTTTTTTTTTCTTCCCCAACGAGCAAAGTCCTAACACCAACACCCCAATCTAATTTATTAAAAACAAAACACCCCACCAAAAGTTACCAAAAATCAACCTCTGCAGTGAAAATCCAAATCCTAGCTCCCTCTGTAAGATCCTCTTCCAGCTTGTTTCCTTCTCAATTTCCTCTTTATGGGAGGTCCCACAGTCGGAAGCAATGTCCTGTCCTCTATCCCCATCCTCTATCCTCACACTACAATAGGAACCCTAATTCACCAATCAAGCTAAAAAAAAAAAACTTCCCTCAATTAACTCACTAAATTGCAAGAAAGATCAGCCAACACAACTGTGAGATCTTCAAACTAAAACCACTCTTCAAACAACTTCCCAAAGTCACCGCAGTAACTTCCATCAACTGCTAATTAGTTTTAATAGAAATCCGTACAACACACAACTAAATTATAGAACTCCAACAACAATAAATTTAAAGAGAGAACCCAACAAAAAAAAAAAAACGCTTCGCAGATAACAACAGTAGTTGCTTATCGTATATCAAATGACATTAAGGACTCCATTGGCAGCTTCTTCGTGCTGCATACGAACGACTTTCGTAGATTTCAGCTTAAGAAAAGACACCCAGAAGAAAATTGTGATAAAAAGAAAGAAACGAGGCGAAAGAGATTGTGCTTGCGCTTCTTCTAACAGTAAACCGCTTCCGAAGAGTATCTTCGCCGCTCTGCTAAGTTTGCCGCCATTGGTCAAGAAAGGTTAAACTCTGAAAACAGCCCAAAAGCAATCAACGACTTCTGAAGAGAGATGAAATGGTTTTAGAAATAATGAGGTTTAAGCTCAGCTCAGATGTTCATCAATGGCTGTTTCTTCTCCGTTTCTTTCCCACTAAAAAGACTGCCTCTTTATACAGAAAAGGACAGCTTTTTTCTTGTCTAATTACGATGTCGTTTTCGTGGTATACGACATTATGCGCATTACGCGACGTCCCATTTTGGCCCTTGCGCCGCATAACGATAATGTCTTTTATGCCCCTACCCTTGTTTAATATTTTTATTATTTTTTGGGGGGTTAGAAATTAGAATCTTTATATTGGTAAGGAGAAATTAATAAAAAGAAATATTCAGAATTCAGATATTTTTGAGTTGAAATGTTGTACTTACAAATAACTAAATGTGTGTTTGTGTGCCACTTTCAAATAGCACTATAATTGACAAA